GTAGGATTTAGTAAGTTTTTATCAAATAATATGCATTCTGTATTTGCATGACCCTCAACAGAGAGCAGAGAGGACTGCTTTTTAAAAACAGAAACCTTTGGTGCACAGCTCTGCTATGAGCATGGTGTGACTTTAGTGCTTTGTGAAAACAACTCTGTGTACAGTATCTTTGACTGGTTTTATTTTAATGATTTTACTGTTAACCTGTTTTTGTCACTGTTACACACTTTCTCTGGAGCTGTGTTGGCACACCTGTGGTGAGCCTGTGGTTAACCTTTCATCAAACAGACTTTTAGCCTCCTGCTCAAGCTTGAATATATCTCTGAGCGCTAAGCTCGTGGGTTCTATGGTCGTAATTTTTAGAGTATGTACAATACAGTGTCTATTTGAATTTGCACTGCTTCCTCAGTTGACACTAATACTTCACTGTCACAGTGTAGGAACTATTCATAGTGGTTAAGGATTACCTCATCTAATTTGTAAACCTGACTATATCAAAGACATGTTCATCTGATTTTAAATCCCTTGAGCTCATAAATAATATGAGAGAAATGAACAATTCTGTACTTTGTCTGTTTTCTCTTGTAGCACTTCCATGATGGGCGTAAGGCACAGCAGCACATTGAAAGCTCGTGGAAACAGCTGGAAGCAGTAAGTGAACCTATTTACGTGCAGTTCCACAGTTGTGCACTAGTTGCAACAAATACATACTGAGCTTGCATCATTTGCAACTATAACATTATGAAATTATAAATTACTAAAATAAACCATTTTTTCTGGATCGCTTGTCAGTTTCTCTTGGCTAGGGAGCCAGAGGCACTTCAGATTTTAGTGGCAGCCTAACCCAACCTAAAAATGAGTGTAACACAAGATGAAAAAAACAAACAAAAAAAAAAGCAATACTTCTTTGAACAAACAAATATCTGTTTCTTTATGAACGATTTGCTCCAGGCATTGTAGATCATTCCAGTTATTTCCCAGGCGAAGAGTTGCTACCAGTCAGCAGTAATAAAGTAAAATATATAAACCACATCATTATCAAAAACTGCCAGACATGAGGTGTTAGTGGGAAAAATGTAAATCAGCAGAGGTCCTTGTACAGAAGAACCTCCTGTTATGTCCTAAAATCTCAGTGTACATTTTTTTTTTACATGCGGTGAGGGGGACAGAAGTCACTCACTGTAAATAATAATAATGACATCAGATGAATTGATTGATACACACACTGCCTGAGGAGCACCTAGTACTGAAGACTGAAACACTGAAGTATAATGTAAATATCAGCTGCTGGCAAGATTTTAAGTACATTGTTTCTCGTGTTGAAAAAGTGCAGGTCCAGGATTTCTGTTTGTATTTGTTTAAGTAAAGAAGCTCGAAGAGAAATTGCACAGAACACTACTTCTTATCTCTGGCTGGCCCCTTTGACGGGGGAGAGAAAGCGTGTGAGAGAGATGCCTTGTCCTCCTCAAACTTCTCTGTGCACTCAATGGATACCATTGTATGTGAGGCAGATAGGCATAGTTCAGAGTGCACACTAGCCCAACAAACACTGATTGTTCAGTTAGAGGGGTCGAAAGAGGGTTGGATGAATGCTTGTTTTTCTGTACACAAATGACCACTATGAACATTTGTTTAATCTGCAGACTGCAGACTTTAACAAACCCTGTTCCTGTGTCAGTTGACATAAACTGACCTCTGCTGCACACAACGCCAGGCCTTAAATGTATTTGACGTACACGTACACATTATGACGTCCATTACTGTGCTTATTTAAAAGTCAAGTAATATAGCGTTCTGCTTTAGCTCGTGGCAGGAATTGACTGATGTAATGTGTGTGATCTCATTAAATCATTAAACCCTCTTATTTCAGAGTAAAAAACGGTTTGAGAGGGAGTGTAAAGAGGCAGAAAGAGCACAGCAGTACTTTGAGAAGATGGATGCTGACATTAACGTGACTAAGGCTGACGTGGAAAAGGTATGTGTTGTGTCACCTCATATCCAATGAGCTTGCCCTGTACCCTTCATGCTTAACACGACTGCCTGGGCTTCTCACCCTCCCACCTAGCAACCTTTTTGTCACGATTTTCTTTTCCACGTATTCCCCCTTTTATGCCCCAATCCTGAGTCCTCGTTCCAATGAGCCCAAAAGACAGCAAAGACTGACTGATGACGTTCTTGATGCCAGGAACTGTGCGAAGAAGCTGGCATTGTCCCAGCAGCACAGTGATCTGCTGCTAAACAAAGCTGATAGCAGCAACAAGTCTGTATTATCTATGTAGAACAGCCACCAAACATCTTTGTTTAGTATAAAAAGGTTTGGTTCTGTTATGTGTCTTTCGGTTTATACATGTAGGTTTTTTTTTTTGCTTTTTGACTGTGAAAAACTAAATACGTAGTGTGCTGCTTTAGAGATTATATGTCCTGTTCAATAAATCATCACAAGGAGCAATCATCCGATTCTCAGAACTTGCAGCCCACAGTCTCCTGGGCCCGTAGCTGATGTCATTTCCTGTTGTCATGACCAATTAAAAGAGCCCTCAAAATCTCAGACCCACACAGCTCCCACGCCCGCAAGGCATCATGGGTCGGCAGCGCATGTTCCTGCTGCTTCATCAGCTGTTGGAGCAGAGCTGAGGCTCACAGTTGACATAGTTCAGACCTGATTATTATGCAAATATAGGCTGGAATAAAGAGCCTTTCTACACTCTGGACATGCAGCCAGAGAACTACAGTCATCTTAAGACTGCTGGAAAGACCCGGCACAGCAGCTCAAGAATCTATTGTTGAAGCAGGAGTTGCTGTACTCATATTAGAGTTATGTTTATTATCACACAAAATTCATAAATTACACACGATATTAGCAAATGAAAGGATCATTTGATTTTCACTTTTTTTGAGTTTAGCCTGTTTGTAAAGTGGGGACATAAACTGTGTCATACTATGCCAGATTTTTCACAAAATAGTCTTAATCTTAGATTATAGGTACATATGCAAGCAATGTTCATGAACAGTGTATGAACCGTAGTTAACTGGACAAACCCATTAAAACCACTGATATTGCCCTTTTATTTAAATACATCTCTCACATTACACATCATTTAATTGTGCTTTAGTCCTCTCCTAGTCCTTCTCCTTTGGATCATTTGGGTGAACTTGGCTTGCTTTTTTACTTACTCGTGTTTCAGTTGTACAGAAATGAAGAATTCGGAATAGGAAAACCTGAAAGATGATCTTGTCAGCGTCTTTCTAGAACAGGTACTTTTCTTCCAAAAAGTACAAAAAAGCAGAGCTTAGTGTTCTTAGTAAGATATAGAGTATAGCCATTTAGACACTTGCGTTATTACATTTGCTGCAAAATACATACACAGTTTAATAGGTACCCAGATGAAATGTCACAACCACAGCTTAGTTTGCATTTTAGTCATAGTGAAAATTGTTGCTCCGTGAGGAGGTTTGGGGTGAACAGATAGGTGGTGGCATGGTGGTAGGAAAAGCAGAGGAAGAGAAGTCATGTGTATTTTGACCTGTCCAAATCAGTATTTTCCAGCTAAGTTGGCTAAATATTTAACAGAGATGTATTTTGAAAGTTCACTTCAACTAGATGCTTTTGTCGGTCATGCAATGCCCTTAATGCAAAAGAGCTGCTGTTTGTCGAGCTGGAGTTTTGTGGTTTTAAGCACAGCTGGAGCAAACCTCTAAGTGTTCTCTCTCCACCTCTGGCAAACAAATCCCTGAATTAGGGGTTTGGATTTGCAGCCCAGATATCCACAAACACAGTTACGGTTCTTTGAGGGACCCCCGGCCCTCACACACACTGACAGACTTCCCTGTTGTGGATTCCCCGTCATAAAGTATAGGGATGCAACATATTACCTTCCTCTCAACTGTTCAGCCTCTACCAGTAGCGGAGAACAGCAGCTTAAAATCCCACTACTTTAGTGGTGATCGTGTTTGTTTATTCTGATACCAGCTTCCTTTTTTTAGCGATGATTCTCGAGGTGGTGCAGGAAGTGCATCTATAGCAACTTCTTGTTTAGCTGGAAACAGCTAACAATTCTTTTGTGTGTATGTGTGTGTTTGTAAATTTATTTTATGCCATGCCTTGAAGCGAAGTTTCCATAAGGTAGGTCCAGCGAGCAGAGAACCCGTATCTGTCGGAACACACACTGTCTCGACTTGTGTCTCGATATACACATGGTCTCCTGTAGAGTCTGACACATAGCCTCAACCAGGTCTGTTACCACGCCCTGTCCTGTCTGACTGTGGCTTATCGCGTTGTCTGCTGCTGTACACTTTCCCACTCTTGATTTTTATGTGTAAGAAATATGAGAGAAAGGCTGATTATGCTAAGGCAAACCTTTATAAACACTCATGCAGTTTCTTTGTGTTCCACATCCTCATTATTTCATCAAACTCTTCTTTAAAATCCACATTTGACAGCTAGATAAATAACTTGAAATGTGTAAATATGTATTTATACCCATTAGTCACTGCTAGCAAAACGGGTAATTTCCAGAAAATGACAACAGGATGTGATGTGGCTGCAGGCACAGCAACTCGTTTTGAAGCACTGGCAAAGTTACCATGGTGATAGCGCGTACCCTCATTATTTCTAAACACATTCAATACACTTTGCATGCACCTACACTTGCAAAGCACATACGCTAAATGCATGCTCACATGCTGGCGTTTAGAATTTAAACAGCTGGACTTCCCCATGTGCTTTTTAGCTTTTCTCTAGATTTCACGTTCCTTGTCTTTCGTAGGCTGTGTGACTCACAGCCAATCATTTTCCACTGAGGTATCATTTGTCATCCCTCATGTGCTGGAAATAATGTACCTTTGTATCTGACGTGTGTCTCGACTCTGATGTACTGTGTGTGTGTGTGTGTGTGTGTGTGTGTGTGTGAATGTGAGTAAATGAGTTAGAGATACTCTGCTCTTGCTCTTAGATCGGTGTGTAGGTGAAAACTGGATGAAGTCTTTTAAATGTTTCCTCTTCACTATGAGAGATCAGGGTTATGTTTCCTTGGCTGGCTCATACAGTTATACAGCTGCTCTTTTTTCTGTGTAGCCTTCAGCAGATTAAATGCTGATCACAATCACAGGTTCATGAGGTAACTCTTTGTTACAGATGACCCATTGAAATCAGTATTTATGTGAGGACGGCCTTAGGTCTGATGGAAAGAGGAAACAGATAGGAGTACTTAGCTGCACGCAACACTAACGCACATACACACAACCCGCACAGGCTGTCTAGCTGAGATAATCTCATCTCCATCTGCTTAGATTCGTAATAGGCCTCTCCTGCAGCATTTCTGACTGCCTTCCTTCCTTCCCTTAGACTAGCTTAAAATAATCAACATTATCGACAGCAGAGGCAGGCCAGACGGGGCGGACAGAGAAAATCCAAATCCCTCCATTCTGCAGCCTGTGCAGGCTGTCGTCGTCTTCTTTATTTGTTTGTTCTGCCCTACATATAATCTAATGCCAAAGGCTGTTGCTGCTTCACAACTCTGAATTGCACCTTTAGATATGCATTCACAAGCTCTCTGTGAATATGTGTGTACATGTGCATGCATGAGTGCTCATATACACAAATAGTTGACTCATTTAGGTTTTTAAGCTCTGGCTGTGTCTGTGGTCTGTTTTCATCAGGGGACACGAGGTTAGTGAAGAGAATGTGGTTGTGATATATGTGCTTGTGTGTGTGTTTTTTCTTCAGGCACGACAGCAAGCTCAGATGAGGCACCAGATGGCTAGTGACAGTAAGAGCGAATACGCCGCCTACCTGGAGAAGTTCAACAAGGAACAGAATGAACATTACTATACAATTATTCCCAACATATTCCAGGTACATACAACAGCTCTACAGTGTATGATTTACCTCAGCTGATTTGTCATAAAGCTGGTTTTGGTTCATCAGTGTCACCATTAAATAGAAATGATTTACTCTTCCCACATGAGAATATTAACACCTCCAAAATTATTGCATTTTTTCCCCCATTTTTTTCTGTTTTTTCTCACGTAACCAATGATTGCACAGTAATGCACGATCTTATCTTGTGAATTCAAAGTTGTTTGCAACTCGCTACACTCAACCCCCCCCTGCAGGTCTGTTGCTAAAATTACATTTTTTGTCATGCAGGAAACACTGACAGAAGCAAGCAGTCCTTATTTAAAGTGCAGTTATTTTTGTCTTATTTTCATCTTACAGTTACAAAGTTTGTGACTTTGAATTCACTGTTTTGTAAAGTTCATGATTTTTGAGCACTCCCATTTCCAGTGTTGTTTGGTCTGACCAGCCTTTGTTGCTCAGCATCAAAAGACAGCACTTTGAGATAGATTAAAGGGTTTTTGTTTTTTCAGTCAAACTCTACCCACACTTTTGTTTATGTATAAATATGCTTGTATCGAACTGTAGAAACTTCAAGACATGGAGGAGAAAAGAATTGAGAGGATATCAGTGTGCATGAAGACATTTGCAGACGTGGATCGCCAGGTGCTGCCCATTGTGGGAAAATGTTTAGATGGCATGACAAATGCTGCCGAGTCCATTGAGCCCAAGGCTGTGAGTATCTGTCTATTTATCCATCTAGTCAATTATTTCCTTGTGGTAACAATACTAATTGGCAATAAATCCTATAACCTTGAAAAGCCTGTGTATTTCCCTTTAAATGGTGCCACAATAGTAAGGAAAATGCATTTGTGGGTTGAGTATCAGAGAATGTGGGTTTTGCTAATGAAAAACTTGGAAGATCTTTTGGATGACTGAAGTCTAAAGAAACAAAACATACTGGCAATTAAACAATTTCTTCATTTAACAAACAGGGCCTCGGTAGCATGTGGAAGAAGCATATACAGCATATACAGCTGCTCTACAGCCTCTCTCTGTATATATTATAATATCTGGGTGGTCTTTATCTTTCAAACTTGGGTCCAGCTTGGGGGTTACTGCTCCATTACCATGGAGACCACTCTTACCTTCATCCTGCACATCTTCTCTAGCTCCTCTCTCAGCCTTTGTTACTTCTTGAGCTTGCTGTGTTCCTTCTTCCAGATGTTGCTATCACTCGGTATAGCTGTATCTGTCACTACAGTTGTCTTCTCTGCTTGTCCACCACTGCTATGTCCAGTTGGTTAGCCATCACCAGTTTGTCTGTCTGTATCTGGAAGTCCCACAGAGTTTTAGCGTACTCATTCTCAGCCACCCTGGGGGCCTGGGGGGGTTATCCCATTTTCATCTTGAGACTTCCAGGCTATACTGAGCAGAGATGTTCCTGTATACTATGCCAGAAAATTGGTTATGGCATTCCATATACGCCGTGCCTGTTAGCATCTTGAACCCCTACTATTATATGTTGGATTGTCTCAGGAGCACCTCTGCACAGTCTGCAGCCAGTGTCTGGCCAGCTATATATGTATACTATATACCTCTTAACCAGGTTTTGGTTAACCCATCACTGTATGGGGGTTATTACTCAATCAGCCAGTCTATCACTGACAACCCACACAATCTCAATTATGCTTTTCACTGTAGTCCTCCTTAAAGGGGTATTACACTGATATTAGACAGAAAATTCCATTAATCCCTCAACAGATGTACTTCACACCTGGTGAAAGCAATTGTGTAATATGTGTGGTTTTGGAAGGAAATTTATAAAGACTGAAATAGTAAGAGTGATTGTGTCATTAGGATTATATCCATTTTGGCTTTAGGATTACCATTTCTGACAGAGCTGCACACTGGGGATGTGAAATCTGAAAGACACATGTATTTAGGAGCATTTATCAAGTGAAGGCGTTTTTGAGAATATATTAGGAAAAGTTACAGAGAATTAGGCCTTTAGTGTTTCTTTTTTGGCTACTCTTTTTTTATTCAAATATGTTTAAAGTGGATCTGAATAAAATTCAAACTTCAACACCGTTATTTTTTACCTTAAAGATGATGAATGTCGGTTAACAGACATGGTTTTTAGTTGAACAGAGTAACACAGAGTTAGGTAGCCTAACTCTGGTAAATGGTAACAAAGGCTAGCTATGAGTAGCTGTAAAGCGCACACATTAATGTGTTAAATCTTGCCCCGTTTCTAGTCTTTATGCTAAGTTTAGAAATCTGGCCAGCTGCTGCGGTTTCATATTTCATAGGCAGATGTGAGAGGTTTATCAGTCTTGTCATTTATCTCTCCTGGAAAGAGAACAAGGCAGTTTCTAATATGTCAAACAATTCCTTAAAGAAAACGTAAACCACAGATTAAGGTTGTGTCTCATTGCGTATAGTTATCTATTATTTAAATAGGTAAAAGGAGAGCAGTATTTGCCTGTGTTTAAAAGTGTGATATATTGAGCTGTCACATGTTGGCTGCCTGCTGTATGACAAAAAACCCAAAACCAGGGATCACATAGTTTGTGTATGTGTAGCTGTGTATGTGTGTGTCCTTGGCTAGGCTCCAGGAAGATGACTCTGTGCTGGAGTAAACAACGGCAGGGAATAACACATCACATGCTACTTTTCCTCTGGCAGATACTCTTCCTCTTTTCTTCTTCTCTCAGATATGGAGGACACAAGAGCAGATCTCTGACCCCCTGATCCTAACTCCAACCAGACCCTTTGCTATTATCAGTTCAGATAGCCTGGTGTGCACTGCAACTGATGAATGTGCTTCTTCCTGTGTCTGAGAAGCCTGGCTGTATCCCCGACCTCAGTGTTTGCTCATAACTCCTGCCTGACAGATTTAGGTCTTTTCCTCTTTCTTCTGTAGGCCACAAACTGAGTAATTCCAGCTTCTCTTCTTTCTTGACACACTCTTGAATTGTTATCAGAGAGAAAGTGATATAAACAGCTGAGTCACCGGGCCACATTTGTGTTGCATATAATCAGCAGACCAATGATGCTCGAGACATTCTCAAACAACAAAGACCCTCCCTTTAGTTATTGTTTGGTATCTGAAAAGCTACTTTGAAAAAGTCGTTGACGCAATTAAAGAGGTTCCAGGATTAAGAGTTCTGCTAACTGCTGCAACTGTCGTCTCTCACTAGGACTCTAAGCAGGTCGTGGAGTCCTTCAAGTCCGGTTTCGAGCCCCCGGGAGATGTAGAGTTTGAGGACTATGGCCAGGCCATGAAGAGGACAGTATCTGAAACCAGCCTGTCCAACACCAAAGAGGGAAAAGAGAAGCCTGGTGTCAAGGCCAAAAGCAAACTGTGGCCTTTCATTAAGAACAAGAACAAGGTAACATATGAATGAACACCTTACTCAAAAATCACTGCTACACCCGAACGTATTGCAAAACATCACTAGTTGTGGTGCAGTTTCCTCGCCTGGAGCTCACTTTGCACTTTCGGGAGATTTATATGGGCTGGGATGGAGGGATATTACAGGTCCCATTATGTTTGTTCTTATGACTTTTTATTTAGTGGCTGTAGAAATATGTGTTCAGTGTTTGTAGTGTGTGTTACAGTCTTGGCGCTGATTCTGTATTAAATTTATATATTTTTAATAGATTTTTTTGACTTTTGTTCACTATGTTAACTTCAGAAATTTATTGCTAGTTCTCTGTTGTTATTGCCATTTTTGTTGTTATTATTTGCCACCCGTTTCCTCCCCTGGCAATCACCCTCACCGATTTTGGAGCCTCCCTTTCATAACACACACTAATATATTTCTACTTTTCACTCTATGAACGGACTCAAGTGGCAGATATTAACTTCCTCTTGGATCTGATGTAACAGTCTTCCCTCAGTACTTTTCCACTGACTGATCATCCTTGAGTAGCTTCCTTTAGCTTCCTGTGTCTAAACATCAAGACTGATCTCTGGCTGTCTTATGGGCTGGTGGCACTGTTGGTATTGAATTAGAACAGAGTGTGATTGAGCAATCGTTTGTGAGTGTGTGTGCGTGTGTGTGTGTGCACGTCTGTGTGGGTGAGGGAGAAAGCGAGTTTGTGCAATGCTACATGAGAAACCCTGGTGTGCAGAAAATGATGCAACCTCCCAAAATTAAGGCAAACTTGTAAAGGCAGAATTTGGGAGCACAGTGTACAGAGAGGTATTTACACTGTACATGCACACAAGGACACATGCATGCCAACAGAAACACAAAAACACTATTGGTTTACAGAATGAAAAAAAAAAAGGATCTCTTAATCGCGCACCAGTGCATGTGCAATGTGCATCATGTGGTATCCTAAAACTCATCACTGCTTCACTCTCTCTCCTTAACTGCTGGTTGATGAATTATGCAGTCAGATGTTTTAGAGCCGCAATAAGCAATTAGATTAGGCTGATGATGGCCTCAAATTCAGCAGCTGTTATCCTCGGGGATGTGGTGAATTACTCGTCTTAGCTGGCATGTTGACGAGGTTGGGAAAGTAACAAAACAAAACTCAAACGGAGGTTTCTAAAATGGAAGCCGGCATGCGCTTTGACCGAAACTCTTCGCTGTTTGCTTTGTGCATCTGCTTGCTTTAACACGTTTGTGCGCTTTCTACTCACTCTGGTCATTTTGTTCTTTTTAATTCTTTAATTTTTTTATGTTTTATATGTTGAACAGTTTATTTTTTCCCACAACATAACTGCTACTCTGGGTTTGACATCCCTTTGGTTGTCTTTTATGTTCCTTTGGGTTTTCTGTTGCGTGTTTTTAATATTTGTAGGAGGCTTATTTATTTTGTTTTGTGTTCCCTCCTCCTTTTCCTCCTTTGTCTTTTTTCGTTGGATTCTCGACCCCTTCTTCTTCTTCTTCTTCTTCTTCTTCCACGTTTTTCCTCTTCCTCTCCGTCACGGCTCCCTCTCTTATTGGTAGCTTATGTCCCTGTTAACGTCCCCCCACCAGCCCCCACCTGCCCCCCCAGCCTCATCCCCACCCTCACCCTCTGCTGTTCCCAACGACCCCCAGTCTCCCAAGCAGCACAAGGAGCCCCTCTCCCACCGCCTCAACGACTTCATGGCCTCCAAACCCAAAATGCACTGCCTCCGGAGCCTGAGGCGAGGGGTAAGTGTGTGTGTCCAAGCCAGCTTTGTGCCTGTGTTTGTGTGTCCGTACACCTGTACCTGAGCTCTGTGGCTGCTACACTGTATGAGTGAATAATCCAAAGACGTGCTGAGCTTTCTTGGATGGTCATGATGGCTACAGCATCATTATTACTTCTGTTGCCAGTAACCGATCAAGTGTAAGCAACGCGACCTCCAACAAGTGTCCCACCTTCACTCATACAGTGCTCAGCTTTTGTGCTTCTCTAGCATGCTTCTGTAGAGCATTACCATCACGTATTGACTCCATGGTATGTGTCCTACTCACCAACAGTCTCTTCATCTTGTCCCTTCATTCTTCAGATTAACTGTGCTCACAATGACAGTCCCTCTCTACCACCTTCCCCTTCTGACAGAAACTAAGGAGCCTAAGCAGTGTTGGCAGTCGCATGAAGACTGCATTTGCTCCCTGTGCTCTTCTCTGCAGTCTATGCTGGAGGCAGATTGTTTTGGGTTTTGCACGTGCTAGGAAACAAGAAGGTTAAACCTTGTATGAATCAAAGTATGAATAAAGCGATTGGTATGGTGGGAGAGTAAGTTTAGACAACTTCCTGAAGGATGGTTTTATCAGCACCTCTCCAGTGCCCTTGTGTGTGTCATCACAATTTCTGCTCTAAAGTCCAGTGTGTGTTTTGTAGAGATACAGGCGACAGTTGCTGGGGAAGGTCACAGCATGCTTTCCTGTCCTTTCTTACTTCACTCTCCAGTTGTCCGTGACCTCAGGAATGGGCTGTAACTCCCAATGTTCCTTCCGGACTCCACAAATATCGTTTTTTTGTTTTTTCTCATAATTTGAAATGGGAGCAGTTCA